GGCCAAAGTATATTTCAAGGTTTAATGAAACGATTCTTATCTACTGTAATAGATTAAGTGGTGTAATTCTTGGTTTGCATTTATTATTTATTTGATATTTATTTATGTCGGATTGTAAAAGATTTTCTAAATTTCATTTTATGTAAGATTTTAAACTCAAAGTACTAGTCTTTTACGCAATAAAACACCAGGATTTTTAGTGGTGTTTTATTGCGTAAAAGATAAGTACTTTGAGTTTTAACTCTTACATAAAATGAAACTTATTTTTTACCTGCCGCCATATTGTCTGTGACGTCATGTGTGTTCGGCGAAGTGCATCATGGTTATTGATGAAAGTATCAAGATGGCGGATGTCTGATAAACACAGGAAGAAGATTCTTCACTCTATTCAAGACCTATCTGGGAAAATACATAATGCTTTTCTGAAACTGTTTTCATCCCTTGTTRCAAGAGAAACATTGGCCTTTAGGAGACTGGGAACGAATATAGCCCACTTACTGAACACATTGAACCTCTCCACTCGAAAGATCATACTACAATTAGTGATTTTTTTTCATGTTTGAATCTATTTGGTTGAATACTCACCGAGTAACCATTTTTTAAATTTGCAAAATAAAAGGGAATACCTATGGGGGTCCAACCTGTATACACGACCAAATATATAAACTTAGGGCCTTCTTGCAGCTGGTGTATTATGTATCTCAAGGGTTTATTGCTCCAATTATTAAAAGGTCGTCCTGCTCYTTCAGSTTTTCAAAGRCGGAATRAATTTGCCAAAGAAGAAAAAATCGCACAGCTCCGCCTTGTGGAAAAGCTTTTAATATATAGAGCTTTTAAGGAAAACTTTACTCCCCAAGAAACAGTTTCTTTTTTGTTCTTTATTTAGAATTGTATCAGCTCTTCTTTAGCATTGCGGTGTAAAGTGCTTTAGGATAAAGACAGTCATAGCGTGTCGCTTGTGATCCACACAGGAACTCCAAGAAATCAATGAGGRCTATTGTTACGTTTGGTCTAGCTGTGGTTACATTGACGCCTTATCTCATGTTATTTTGATCTTTCATGTAGCCGCAAATATTCAACTGAAGTGATTTCATAAATTGAGAAGATTCTAGCGGCTTCTATTTCTCTCATTTATTTCTTAAGTGTGTAATGAGTCCAAATATCGTACGACCTCCCTCACTATGTACCAACTAGGGTTAGCTGGGCGGAGGGGTCGGGTGACACCCCAAAATAATATTTAGATGAAGTGATCTCATAAATTGAAAAGATTCTAGGGTTTTCCAGTTATCTCATTTATTTCTGAAGTGTGTAATGAACCCAAAAATAACACAATCTCCCTCACTGTGTACCAGCTAGAGTAAGCAGGGGGAGAGGGTGGGGGAGTATTTGATATCGATCAGCGATCGGTGGGGGTGGGGGTGGGGTAGAAAAGATAAAATCTAGGGAGGACATTCAAAAATAGATTACGGCATCCAAAACATAAATATACTTARAAACTATCAAAACAATTGTGTTATACACAGCTAGAAAGACACAATTATAAAAACAAGAATAAACTGATGACTGCTCTAGTAACGTATTTCTATATGTATTTACTAGGGGTGGGGTAAAATACATAATGTCTGGAGAGAGGTGTGATCATAGCAATTGAGTCAGTCATATCTTACACGGATAATCTCYAAAATCCGTGGGCTTCGTCGTGTAGTATGCAATAGCAATTCAATCAGAAAACAKTTTTTTTTTCTTTGATGAAAAATCTGTGAATTACCATTAGAATTACAACGGAATTTTCTTAAGACATTCATGATACGTAATAGATACTCTTGCTAAAGATGACAAGTTGGGTTATTGCAGTGTCAGGCTGACATAACCATCGCTGAAGGTTCGAGACATCTCTATTGGTAAGTAGTACGATGGCGCTCCTTTTGACGAGTTTGAATAATTCATTTGACACGAAATCGAGTTGTTTTTTGGTTGTTTGTTATTTCTATGGTGCACTTTTCAATTTTATCTTTTTACATTTTGAATGAGAAATGGTTTCATTTAATATTCGATTTTTTTAGTCTCCCACATGTAGACCAAACTTCTCATTCTTATTCATATTAGTACATCTTTCATTGACGGCCTGAAATTGAAAAGATTTGCAGATTATCTCAGTTTTTCCCATCCACATACAAGAAGTCCTCGCAATCCGATGTTAAAATGCCATTACAAAATGCATTCTTGAAATGAAATGTTTTAATTTAAGACATAACAGGTTGGGGGTAAGTTTATTATTTTGATCTTCTCTTTAGAATAACACGATCCATCATCAAATCTACTGTGATCTTAAGCGAAAACTCATAAATCAGCGAGATTTAAACAAGATAGGTGAGAAAGTGGCAATACTATTTATATGTACGTAATGAGAAACTCGATGTACATTCATAGTCAAGAACGCAGATGAAGCGGTCTCTTTTGCTGGAACATTAGTCCACAAACAACAAAGTGCCGGGTTGGATAACATTTTTCCTGACTCCATTTGGCAACTTCCTTCGCTCTTTCAGGGCATAGAAATATTTCCCATACTCGCTCATTATAAAGGGGTATTTTGAATTCTAAGAATATAAAAAATCGAGTGTACGGGGTTTCAGTGGTTTTGATTGAAGGAATAGTAACATGATTCACATTTCAACAAATCAATACAACGATATTGGCTTTCAATGCTCGATCAAAAACGTTTAATTCACGTCCGGATAGAATTTATTTTATTTTGACAAGAATAACCGATGTCGAACGATAAGGAACTACTATCAAACTGTGGCGGAATTTCTACGCTTCATTAATCGTTAAAAAATAATTAAAATTGGAAGAGAAAAAAATTAAGCTACTGAGTTGTCAAAAAAAAAAAACATTTGCAATTTTTCTTGTTTTGTTTTTATGAATAGTGTTTAATAAATTTAACTTAATAGAAAAAAAACGATAATTTAGATGTTATGAGAAATTAAGACAATTTAAATCGAATAAAATCGAGAACAAAACAAGTAGTCCGTTTACCGATTTGAACATATTCAACCTTAAACAGATTTCCAATAAATTTGTGGCAACTAATTGAAAGGAATATTTACTCTTAAAATAGCCCTTTTTTAATTTTCTCATGATTGTATCTCGGGATTTAGATTTCCTGTTCCCAAAAAGGTCCATTTTCAACGTATTGCAAAGAGTGTACTTTGCCTCCAGATATTATTATCAAAAATCGATTTATCATGTTACACCGGCATTATTGATTCTTGCATCAAAAGTTTGATTGTTGGTCGATGTCCACCAATAAACTCACTACGAAATGTTTTCCATATTACCGGCAGAAAACAAGCTATCCTCTCCAAATCAATCTTTATTACGGGACAAAAAGAAAGGCGAAAAAGCGCCTAAGTAAAAAAATGTTTTTCAATATCACAAACCCAAGAATCGCTTCTTAATGTTGTTGATACATTTGCGTGATAAAACAGCATGCAAAGTATATATCAAGCAAAAGATAAACCTTATTAATTGAACATAAATGCTTTCATTTATTTAAAGAAAACTCGAGGCAAAACAAAATCAAAATCAAAATAACGCGAGAACGAGCGGCTCGTTCGTCGATTGTGTTCGTCAACTAGAAAGAACCGAAACCCACCTGCTTCAAAGCAAGACAAAAATCTAATTAACAAGAACTCATTTTTTCATATTAATTTTGGTCCGCATTTTTCAATAACTAACATTACGGATAGTGGAAAAATACGAGGGTAATATTTGAACTACGGACCGTCACTCGCAGTGCAAGTTATTAGCGACGGACATATTGACATTGCTTGGTACACATTGGCTAAATTTTCGGCCGGTTTTTTTTGGAAGTACTACATGAAGACGGGATATTATGTGTCATGCTAATGATGTATCCCTTTAACATTAGCGTCGGTTTAGTAGTTTTGACTTTATGAGGCCAATAGGTATAAGAGGCTTCCAAACCATTGACTTAAATGTATTTACAAGGGACTTACTTATGGGCTTTTCAATTTTTACTATCGATAAACTATCACCTCGATGAGATGCATATTAGAATAAGTAAAGTAATTATTACAGCCTTTCCATCGAATTATCTCCACCATTAAAAGTTTCCCCTAGGTTAACACTGCTATCAAATCCAATCACTATACTCCACAAGGCGCCTGGAGAGTCCCCCAACCGTCTGTACCTATATCAGTACCCTGCAGTTCTTTTTGTGTCAACTTGAAGTATCCCATTAAAGAACTCAATATCTATGAATTTATTATTTATCATTTTATTTATGTTTATTTACTATGATTTACCCGCCTTTTTGTACATACACTAAACAGCTCGATATCTATGCATTTATTATTTCGTATTTTCTTCCTTTTATTTCCCATTTCCCAGTTTAGCTTCGTAAAGTTAAGTAGATCCCGTGTTTGCACCCATCAATTCATTTTTTTTTTCATTGTATCTTTTTAAGCATTTCGGCTTTAGTTTTTTACTCATTTCAACGCGAAGGCAACTCTTGTGCATGTTTTATTCTCTTTTTTTTGAATACCTAAATGTGCAATAAAGATAGTACGTTATTAGCTGGAAAATATAAATATAAGAAAGATGTCAATGATACTGAAAAGAAAAGTCTTTTGCCAAGTCGCAAAAAAGTCCTATATGTGAACCTAATTAACAAAACAAAAACAAAACAAACAAAAAAGACAAAACAAAAAACAAATTCAAACAAATCAAGTTAAATCAGAACAAATCAAAACAAAAGAAGTCAAATCAAAACAAAACAAAAGAAAAAACAAAACAAAACAAATTCAAACAACTTAACTCAAATCAAAACAAAACAAATAAAAGCAAAACAAAACAAAAACAAAAAAGGAAACCCAAAAAAAGAAACAAAAAAAGAAATCGACCAGCTTGAAAGGCCTTGTCGATTTAAGATTGCACCGATAAAATGATTTATGAAGAAATTAGTAATAATGGTTGTCATTGATATAGCGGGAAACTCTTTTCAAAATATCATTAACCATTCGTAATAATCAAAAATTTTAGTGCAGTGCTACTGAAAATACAATTTTGAAATTATTTTCACTTGCATGTAAAGAGCCACTCTCAGAAAACATCTGCCAACTACTCAATTCTTAAACCAGTAATTGTAGAAATCTGAAAACTCAAATCCAATTGTAAAACTGTTTGAAATAGTTAGTCACAAATGCAACGGGACTGCGCATCGATAAGACAAGCAAAAAACCATAGCCATGGGTTACCGGTGGTACAGCAACTATATGTGAAATGATGAGAAATGCAAGAAAAAGTATACTGATTAATTATGAAATGTCTAGTTTCCATCAGCAGTGTTTTAATGTRCGATATGTTCATTATACTAACGACGAGGTCTGCTGTATTTGTTGTTATTGAGTATTAAGTAGAGAGCTTCAGCGCCAGTTGATGCAATCTAAATGTGCGTCTATTATAGAACTGTGATAATATATGAACACGTAATAGCATAAGATTACGGGAGTTTAAAAATAGAAGAACGTATTCATTTRATATGTTTTGTTAAATATCATCTCACACTGTAAAAAAAAAATACAAAAATAAATGAATGGATATAGTTTACTAGTTAAACTTATCACTATCGAGAATTGAGTTAAGCTCTCGTATTTGTAAATATTCACGTTCTAATATTTGACCTAGAACAATAAACTCATATTCGGTTTTGCATATCTCAGATGTTATCACCGGTTGTCTGCCTCGAGCATTTTCCATTCATCCCACCATTTTATATTTCTCGTAATTAATTTTAGTTCATCAGTCATTGACATAATTAAATATTGCCACCAAAATGGTTCTCTTTGAAGACTTAAATCACTTTGGTATTTACATATATATCATACATTTCGGCACCATGTTTAATTCGTCATTTAAATATGCAAATTGTTTTACTTCGAATCAGACAATTTCTGACGTCACTGGGTCCTGCTACGTAAAATTAAAGCATACTACGTTACAGAGAATACTTCACTCACAGACCGCCATATATGATTCCCCAGTCAAATCCTTCTTTTCCTCCTCGATAAAATGTTCTTTGTTACTTTGTTTTTCAGCTAGCAATGTACAATGTGGATTCTATTATTAGTATGTTGTTTGGTAAATGGCAGTGCGTCTCGTTTGTCGTCTATGCCATCTTTTCATGAAGGTACGTAAACTTTAACAACCGAATCGCTAATCTATACAGTAATTTCAAATGAGAAAAATCCAATTTGAGGTGTTCTAGTTATGCGAACAAGTTGTCAATCGATTTGAAATTAAAAAAGCGCGATAAAARGAGGGTAAGACCGTGTACGCACAGATGTCTTTTTTTATCGGTTTCTCAGGATATTTGTTGATAGGGAACACAAGTTGGGAATATTCATCCCTATTCCGCTTAACAAAGTTGTGTTTTTATGAAGAAACGTCCAGGATCSKTAAAGCCCATGAGCTTATTAACTCCGTTTGATGAAGTTGAAGGCAAAGGATATACGATTGTCAAAGGTTTCGCAACGATATTGTTCTCTATAAATCTTTCCACTCAAAAGAATGAAACAGCCACCAGTGGATGCACTTATACCAGGCACTCTCTGTACAATGGTTAATTTTCAAAACAACTCTTAATGAAATCTCTCCGTTTTTAATTTCATGTTCTTGGTGGCCATTTTCAATTATCTTCCTGACTTTGGATGTTCGCAGCAGGGATTTTACCTGCTTTATTTAGTGAAAATTCAACATATATCTTGACTAACTACTAAAACACAAACACAGAACACTTCCAAAAACAATACTATCTTTTTATCAACATTGTACAACAACTTAGCAAAATGTTTTTTTGGGGAATTCGATGCGAATTTATCTACCGCCTCTATAAGCTAATTTATTTATTTTTGTAGGATGATTTCGGAATATTTTACCAATGATCACTTGTGAAAAAACACATTTTCTAGCGCGATTCAAGACTTCCTTCCACCCACAATGTAAAAACAACTGGAAATTCAATAATGGTCAATGTTTTAATTCTTTATTAGCGAATACTTGATTTCTCAGAATGGTTTTCACATAAGACGGAAAATGAAAGCCTTAAATGTAATATTGTAWACGATATTTGCTCACATAAATTGCTTTGACGTTGAAGGTCGTTAAGAACAGGTCTTCGAAAGTGTCGAATACGATTCATATAGCCTATAGGACTTAAATAGAACGAAACATAATCAACTGGCGCGGATAAGAGCCAATCTAATTCGCTGAATTGTATATAATACTAAAAAGACACATTTCCGCCTCGCAATTGACTATTGTAGCACAAGATTGATTGATTCCAAAAATTCAGGTTGAAATGAGTTGAATGGTTTGTTGGCTTTTTCTATATGAATTCAATAGGCCGCGGACCTCCATGCACTCACATCCTACCAGTTGGTCACTTAAAAACCCCATTCTTTTTGAAAAATCTGAATAAATTTTCCTCCCGAGACTAAAATTACCAGCAACTTAAATATGTATTGTTAATGTGACTAAGATACTAACTTCAGATCATCTTTTCATGTGCTTTGAGGTCAGAGATTAACTCCGTTAGTTTATATATTGAATTCGGTCAGCGTCAGTTTGGGACACAGTCGTAATACTTTTATAGACCCTCTCATTACATCTTTAAGGATGCTTTCTGCATTAAAAGTAAACAATGAAATGGTTTTTCGGAAAACAAGAAGTACATTTTATTATTTTCAGTTGAAAATATTGCCTCAAACATGTWTTCAATTGATTCCGCGATGTTTTCGTACGAGTTCTTGATCAAATTTAGCGTGTTTCCAAGATTTGAAATTTCATTGGAGACTCTTAACAATTCCGGCTATGATACYCTTGTTCCTTTAAGGACTTCCCATTTTTGTGTGTGGAATAAACCACGTTCTTTGTCTGTCAATCATACATTGTACCTAAGGCTTCCAAAAAAGAACCCCGAATGATTTCCTTTTATAATATTTCCTTAGTCCCTCTTGCTAGCAAATCCTCATATTCCCAACATATTGCCGCAGACCATCACTCATACTTAAAGTCATTCGAATAGTGAATCATTTCATTGCCATTGTTGCTGTTAATTAATGCCAAATTTGCCCAAGTTAACAGTCTAATTTTCAGAGAAAAAACAAAATTATAAGCTGATATATAGGCGTTAATTGACAAGCAAAAAGACAAGTACGTCATGAATATTCATTTATCTATATTCCCATTTATTCTAAAATTGTGCTTTAATCCGATTATTCCTCACATTATTACAAACTTGAAGTCATATCACAGAGAAAATTGATATGTTTTCCTGTATTTCAACGTTTTTTTTTAATTCATGGTGAATATCTTTTCTTCAGWGTTAAAAATAACACGCAAATGTGGCTTTTAGGATTTCACATAGCATGGTGTATCATAATTGGTTGTTATCTTTCTGATATGGACTGCCGTAGTCTAATGGTACCATTCAACAAATCGTCTGATATTGAGCTAGAAAACTACCACGTTGGTAATAACAACATGAATAAACAAATAAATGAACCTGCAATTACTTGTGATTTGAATAGAAAACATAAAGTACTTTATTAGTTTCCTATTTATTACATGTCATATATGTCAAAGTGCACGAGGCGAAGCAAATAATTCTTATAATAAAGGAAAAACCTGGATGAATCAGTCTAATCTTAAATAACACAGCGGTGTAGATTGTTTACGAACGTAGCGACTACAAYAACTAAGACTGGCGTACAGCGTAATCGAGGACAATGATTCTAGAGTGTTTTTTCCATTGATTGAAAATAACGATCAGTTAGCAATATCTGTATATGACAGTTCAAGTGACATGGGAGCCATAGTTACTTAGAATCTTACAGAGAATTGCTTTAATCTGTTCTAACCTCTCATCTTTTTGAATCCATTAGTTCTAACTGGCAACGAGACGGGAGAGGAACGCTTGTTCAGACACCTGTTTAAAARCTACCAAGAGAGAMGATTAGTCGTRCCAGTGATTGACAGGTCTAAACCCATTGTAGTGCACTTTGACGCACATCTACTTGGCCTTGCGAAAGTGGTAAGTGTACATAGTGACACGATGCAAAAGATTTACCGATTTAACGGGATTAGCTCAGGGTTTGTTTAGCATTGCATTGTACTTATCCGTGAAATGAAATGAACAAAATAAGTACACGAAAATGTAACTTTATCCGTTTGTTCGCATTGAAAATATCCAACGATTCTGTTGGAAAATGTTCAGGTGTTGGATATATCTTATTGATAACCTTGGGAATTKAATGTTATTCAATAATTTTGCAGAATGAAAAAGAACAAAGAATCAAGACACATTTGTGGATAAAACAGGTTTGTCATTTTCTGTCAATAATGCCCAACTTAATCTTATATTCACACCCATCAAGCTCGAAATCCACCCAACAAAAAGTCCCCATTCTATCAAACACTAAGCCAACGAAAGCACAAACCAGATTACCCACCCATCCTTAGCATGCAAACAACAACCTTGTCTATAATATGCTGCAATTCCTGATTTTCATAGGAATGGAAAAACTACTTTTTGACCTGGACACCAACAGATTTCGACAATATCCAGGAAATCATTGTCCCTTCCAGTATGGTGTGGGTTCCTGATGTCATTCTCTACAACAAGTATGCTAACACACTAACTTTTATGTATGCTAGTGTACAGTGAACGATTGAAAAAAACACCGTTTTGATAACTCTGTTATAAGGTTGACAGGCGTTTAACCACAACACTAGACATATTTGCCAGAGGTGGCGACTTTTAATGATTTCCAAAGATTTAGTATGTGCGCACTTATTGTGTGCGCCGTTCAGACTGTTCATTTTCAGCCATAAAACAACCAGACTTAATCTAAGCGTTTGCAACCAATCAGGGTGCTCGATACCATGGTTGTAGATACAACCAATCAGGGTGCTTGATACTAAGATTGTAGATATAACCAATCAGAAATCTAGATATACGTTGCAGATACAAACAATCAGGATCAGCTAGATATATAGCATTTCTTAAAGATATGTTAGAGTACCAATTTTATGCTAAAGATATGTTAGAGTACCAATTTTAATTCATTTTGACGATATACAACCTATCATTTTTTTTCTCATTCAAGTGCCGACGACAGAAATGACGGAGACAAAAAGACCAACCATATGATTGTGGTCAAGCATGATGGCAGGAATGTCTGGCGATCGCCTGCTATCTACAATAGCATGTGTGTACTGGATGTCAAGTATTTTCCCTTCGACGAACAGTCATGTGACCTTGCATTTGCCTCATGGACACGTGACAGGAAAAGCCTCGATCTGGTACTTGGTGACAGTAAAGTCACACGTAGTGCCAAAGACACCAAGTTTTTCCAAGAAAACGAGGAATGGAGGGTTTTGTTTGCTGAAATCGAACGAGAGGAGGTGAGAATTAAGTATTTAAAGTTAAATGATACATAAACGAGCTCATACATAAACAAGCTCATGACTGTATACTTAAAGAGTAACTCATGACCCAGAAGGCAATGGGGCTCGAAGCAAACTAATACTGGTATGGAGAGAGGTACTGAGAGAGTGAAGTTTTGAACAAGAACACTAATGTATTCGTGACTCAAACAGCATATAATTAAGCGACTAAATCTCGTTTTGCTTTTCATCAGGTTAAACACGAATGGTCGGAACACACCAGAGCAGAAATCACTATATCCATTCGTCTCCAACGTCGAACGTACTATTACGTCATGAATCTGATTCTACCGTGTACATTAATCGCTTGTACGATATTCTTAGAGTTCATTCTTCCCGCAGARTCTGGAGAACGAGTAGGCCTGGGCATTACAATTTTGTTGTCCATGGCGGTATTTCAGGAACTGACRTCAGAGAAGCTTCCATCGAGCTCTGAACACTTTCCATTACTCGGTGAGTACAAGTAGTTAAAATGSATAAATCATGTGGTCTGGAAGTGTAAATCACGCGACATAAACGTACAAATCACGCGATGAGAATAAATGTATTATGAGGGCTAGAATAGTGTTTCAACAACCATTGGTTTAAAATGATGTCTTTCATGCGAGGTTTCTTTAACGACGCAACTAAGTGTCGTGTTTATTAAAAATACTAATTATTGACTTTGTGCTTGTTCTAGCAATGTACTATTCAGTGTCTATTATGGAGATTGGTACAGCCCTCGCGGCAACATGTATAATACTTAACATTTACCATCGTAAGACTGAAATGCCWGCTTGGTTCAGGAGAGTTGTGTTACGTTGGTTGGCCACTCTTGTACGATGCAAACCTCGTTTTACTTCAAAGGAGATGTTGGAGACTAAACACGAGGAAGCTATGATGAACATTATGACTTTCAAATCTGCGGATGTACGGAGAAACGATGTCTACGAGTTTGATAAAGAATCAAGAGATTTTGAGATGGATGTGCTTGAGCCATGCTCACACTCCCAAAGAGAACAGCACGCTCCTAATGGCTCGGTTCCGTGTAATAACACGACAAGGAGACACTCTCTTCTTCAAGATGACGACATTCAAGAACCCTCGCCAAACGACCCACTTCACACACATCGCATGCAACTTTTAGAGCGCTTAAACGAAGATGTTCGGAGGAAAGAATGGCAAGACGCTGCGCGTGTACTGGATCGTGTTCTTCTGGTTGTATCGGTTGTGATTGGKTCAGCATCRGCSATGGCRATCTTCCTTCAATCACCGAGAATACGCGGTTTCTTTAATCCATGGCAGTAGTGACACATTTTTGTGTTCATCGCTTGATCATTAACAGGTGGATCTTTGTACTATGTAAGCTGTTGAGCACCACCAACATCAGGGTGGTAGTACAAACATTAATGAAGTAGAAAAAAGATCGTAAGGTAGTATCATCATTGAGACGGCATAAACTATTATCACTGAGGTTGTACCATCATTATCTTGAAGATAGTTCTACCATCATTGTGTAGGTGGCACCATCTTCCTTGATGCAGTGCCGTTACTGTTGAGGAGGTGGTATCATCATCAATGAGGTAGTGCTATTACCATAAATAGATAGGTATAATACAGCATTCATAGGGTAGTTCTGTCATGATTGAGGCAGTAGCTCATTGTGGTACCACCTCAAGTTTGGAGATGGCACCATGCATCAACATTGAGGAGGTGGTTGTGCCATCATCCTTTKAGGCAGCATCATCGCCATTGAGGAGTTAACGTCGTCAGTGAAAGAGATACACTGTCATCGAGGTAGCATCATTACCATGGCAGTTTCGTCATCATTKAGGCGATTCCTCATTGTGGCACCATCGCCAGTTTGGAGTCGGCACCATGCACCACCATTGAGGATGTGGTTGTACCATTATCCYTTACGAGGTAGCATCTTCGCCATTGAGGAGGTAACATCGCCATTGAAACAGTTCCCTCATCATTGGTGATACCTCATTGAGGCACCATCTCCATTCAGGAGGTGGTACCATAATCGCAGACGAGATAGCATTATCATCGAGATAGTACAACGATTGTTTGAAGAAAGAGGTCATTAGACCATCAATGTGAAGGTAGTATCAAGTGCCGGATTCGAATTGAACACGAATAGCACTAYAGATATAAATTATCTGAGGGCAGCCACTAATTCTAATGACGTTATGTGTGATTTGGTGAAATGCATCATKGTATTGATAAAAACCTGAAAATGTCGGACGAATTTCTTTGCGAAATGAAGACTCGAAATGAAGGTCAAAAATCATTAAACGAATTAAATGAGAATTAGACTAATGCTTGTTGTTCGAGAAAGACAATGTGTCTCAGTTTGTACTTTTGTCAATCCCATGGTGCATCACGTCGAAGTCATTTGAGGAAAATAGAATCTGGACTTGTCATGGTGGTTTCCAGTCCTTCTACACATGCTAAATGTATTGCTTCCTCGAATCTATCACTATGAGCAAGAATTGTATCCACTACAGCATAAGCTCGTTCGTTCATAGTATAGGAATGTGGGTTATTCCCACACAAGAGGATCACTTTATCATATTTTAATAAAACAAGAGTTTGGGTTATCATAATATGGGCAGTAGCCAGGCAATTAGGTTGTCRACGCACTTTGCAAAAAAGGAAATATTACATATACTAAATTATTATTTATAGCTTCGCTTCTCTAAGGTGGCTACACCCATCCCTTTAAATCAAAACATTTGAAACTTGTAGTTTAGAATTGTAGTGAAATAGCTGGAAATTAAAACGAATCTTTTGAATGATAATGCAATCAAAGGACTTGTAGTAGTACTTTAACGGAGAATATTTGTAATTTCTGAAAATGGCGATGGTCATAAACATGAYAACAGTCTTAGTCCCCATAATTCTTTGCGAGCGACCTCTTATGTCAACGTCCCAATACACATTGCTTCAAACCAGAACAATCCATCATAAAGAACTGAYTCCCTTCTCATTTTGGATTTCATATCGGAAATTTGGAAAGACTGCGTTATATTATTGCGGGCGCTAATCCTAATCGCTCTAACTTCAACAGGGAGCCCAATAATTTGTATAACTACTGACTTCCGTASAGAAGTCATCTTCATTTTCAGCCTTTGTTGGTTTCCGAACCATAGCAAGTCGATGGCCTCGATTGTTGTCAGTTTCCTGTTTTCAGAACAGCCGCATATCAAGCTGAGCTAAAGTGGGTGGAACTGTTAAGTCTTAACTGTTAAGTTTGGCTGAAATTCAAAGATTGATGGGGGCAATTCTCCAACTGYTGTTGATAGACATATTTTACAGGTCTAGTCGTAACCATACTTAATTGTTTTCTCACTGTGTACAAGACACGAGTTYTTGCCTTGATGACTGAATAAAAGTGAACTACATTAAAGAACWCAAGACCTAAAGTCAAGGAATTATAATTTACAGTTTGCCACCATTCGTTTATCATTCATGCTTTTACAGTACAGCTGCAAATGGGCCAGCCTCCCCCCTTTTCCCCTAAAAAATTGCAAAATGTTCTTATTGWATGATTTGTGGAAAATAGGTCTGAACGAGTTACAGTAAACTGAAGTTCCAGATAATATGAACTGACTTACTATAATAATCATCAAATCTTCCTCAGTAGTTGAAAACATTTTGACAAAGAATAAACATTTGAAATTTCAGTATGATTTTTTCTTTTCAGTCCAAACTTTTTTATCAAAACTATTGGACACACTGACAAAGTCAACACTAGCTTAAAAATAACTCAGTGAAGAATGGCATAACAAACACAAATAAGAAACAAGATATTTAATAGCATCTTTTCTTTGTTTATTATAAAATAATCAGTACAAGGACAAAATTTGTACAAAACAACCTCATTTGTTTCTAAAATAGAAACTAAAAATGGCATATTCACATACCACTCATTGAATAAATGGAATTAAAAGCAAAGAAAACTGAAAAGAGCATAATTTCCATTTGTATCTTTCACTACATTTACCTAGCTAATTGTCCAAAAATGCATGCTACAAGCATGTAATTTTGGAAAATCTACAATTTTGAAAAATTCTAATGTGTGTGTGTGCRTTTTGAGTATCTATATCATTTTTAAATCRTGTTTGTCTAGTCCAGTCAATAAACCAATCAAACATGAAGGCAAGGTTCTGATTTTGATCTTCCAAACACTTTGGATCTGTTCCACTTTAACAACCCACTTTCATGAAAAGGACTCCAAACTTTCCTCATCATAAAGTTTACMAGAAACACYAAGACAATGCCAGCAATTGCATCGACACCATAATGATGATTGGAATACAAMGCAGCCCAGGTGATCCAAGCAACATGTCCTAATGCAAACTTTTCACTTATCCATGGACCACAAACTAATATCATTGCAGGCCATGCTACRTGGAGAGAGGGAAAAGCACCATAYTTGACAGGAGATGCAGAGTAAATACCATGAAAGAACGGAAAGCCGAGAACTCTATCTAAACGATGAAATCCTGCTTCATTAGCCCCAGCTTTGAGAAGTTGTCCATCAACACTCCACACGGCAGAGTCAACAAACCAGGGGGGTGTTGTAGGAAAGAAAAACTGGATTAACACAGCAACCAAGTTGACCCAACCTGCCAACCATAGGAAYGGTAGAGCTCCGTGGACACTCTTGGTGTAGAAAAACTTATACAATAAGAAGAATGCTGGTAAYGGGAAGTGGATGAGGTAAGGAACWGCTGCCATAAAGTCAAATAYAGGATTTGAGAATGTAGATAATATTTGATGAGGATAACAGTGAAATACCAACATCTCTAGCCATGGAAGGAAATTACAGTTTGGTTTGAGCACAGAATCAAGTCCAGTAATGCTCCGTAGAATACGATAATTAGAAAAWACAATTAAATATGACAGGAAAGGTGCTATGGCTAGTCCTACATCCTTGAAAGGAAACKTTTTCAACTTGGAAGGTACACTATCAACCCAYRAATAAAACTCAGCCTGAAACAATAAAAATAAATATCAYTGACCCTACAAAATACATGCAATTTTAAACATGGTCTATACAGTTGAATTGTTTGTGGATACAATTGAAAGCATCCATGGAGTATAAGATTACTAATATCCATTTACAGGTGTTAGCTGACCTGCTAAATATCAAATACATGTATTTACAAGACAACAATCTATATACAAACTAGAAATACTCTAGAATAAACTCGTGTAGCTTGTCTATAGACATTTTCTCATGCAAACAGCATTTTTTATATACAAAATGTAGGTGAAACCACAAAGCTAATGATTCAGAACCTAATGCATAATATTATCTTTAAAAGATGTTAGGTATAAGGTATCATTATTTCAACACTTTAAAAGTGAAATATAAAACCATTAACAATGTGAAAAGCAGACCAATACAAGATTATGGTTTGGCTAAAACCGGTGAATCAAATCATCGTGGAAGTATGGCACGGTTGAGCAACCACAAGAAATGCAAAGAAAATACTAGTATTTCCTGAACATATATCAAAAMATTTCTAATCAAATTAAAGACAATGAAAGGTTTACATCAAAGTTCAAGAGGATGGACATATTTTGGAATGTGTATAGTTGTGCAATGGTGTTTTAAGCTTACAGTAACAAAGAGCTTGTTTGAACAAACACAAATGATGTTATTCAATGAACTTCGAAAGATATCAATCAACAAGTACAAACACGAGAAACAGGAAATATGTGGCCCAGTAAAGGCTAYCTCAAACTACAATTACGAAATTCTCGTCCAATAATAATATCTTGAAAAATTTCAGTGTATCACAACGCCAAAACATACATGTATACAAACATAAATTATTCACGACATAGAATCCTAACCGTTTACAAGTCTTTTCCACGATTAATCCAAGACTTTACCATATTACAAATACTAATATCCYTCAGATTTGAGTATGAATTAACAAGATTCAACAGATAAAATAGATAATAGTCGGTCGCACACGCGGGAAAACCTCACAATGTCCGGTGTGAGCCATACCTGTTTTGTTTCTGTGTACAATTCAAACGATTCTTTCACCGATCTTGCAAAACGATTCCAGGACACGAGGATCTGAAATAAATAAATAGTATGTTAGTTGARGTAGYTCTTGAGTAACGAGCAATCGAGCTTACAAGGCTAGGAAAAATTSAAAATCAGCAAGCTATAACRAAGTTGCCAGTTATCAGGTGTAAATGTAACCACTTTAAAACATCATAATTTTCAATMGAAATGCATCAAAAGAAAGATTATTAACACACTYACCCTTCCAGTTTTGTATTCTTTTAAAAATAATCGGTCTTCTTTTARCTGTTTTAAAGTCATCTTTGAATATCGTGTCTAAGGTTGGGTTTGCAGAACACGAGGATTGCACAATTTGATATCGATTTTTATAAACTTCTACAGCTARATTCTCTTTTAAATCTTTCTTTAAAAATGTCTTCCTCTTTGGCGTTGTTTSTTGATTTCGTTTCTAAGTTTCGCTTTAATCCAACGGGACAACAATCAATTTACGTGAAAATGGCGGTAGAAAGGTCCTTCGGGGCGGTTGACTACTACAAACTTTATGAGCGTTTAAGTTGATAAATACGACGACTCCAAGGTTAAATTTTCACGGTGTAATGCTTTAGTCAGTTGTGAATACTTTTAGATTGATTTAAGTCAGTCCGGTGTTGGTTTGGTGGTACAGGGAGCGACTTTCCACAAGCTTCCAGGATCCACCGCTCCTTCGTTATAACGCCATGATGGAAGGGGGTGGAGGTYATTCAGACGCTGTGAATGATGGGAAATTACTCATGTTGTCATGACTACAATTATGTCGTCATCACTGAAAATAACGGCGAACAAAAGAATKGAATAATGAACTTTGATCTTCTAAAAAAACACTAAAATTAAACCTAAAAWCTCCCGTAGAATTAGACAAAAGGGAGAAACAAACAATATAATTGCAAATAGTATTAATTCATATTGAATTAATTTCACATAAGGAGCGTGTGATCGACGAAATCTTCGCTAAAAATCATATCGGGTTCCATACCTCCACGGTCGCGGAGGTATAGCGGTCACGCTCGACATTTATTTGAGATTTATATAGCACTAATTTTTTATCACTTTCACGTTTTAATATTGAAAATTTTCTGACACCTTAAAGCTTTCAATGGGAATACTCTCTTCAAAAAATCCAAAAATTAAAATTAATTAGCCCTTTCATTTTGAATACCAAATATGGTATCGKAACGGACAGCTGAATGTTCCAGATTCAAAAGTACCGTGGCTCCCGGCTTCAATCTCACACGAGTTTCTGGTCGTGTATGCTTCCGAATATTAGTTAATTTTCCGGTGACGTGTCATGCAACTGCTGTGAGAGACATGACCACTATTACTCACGTAACTACACAAAATTTGTCTATAAAATTTTATTGTTCTAAAGGAAAGTGGTTRCTAAACTTAATGCGCAACATTCGCCCACAATGATGCGCTTTCGTAGCGTTTTTGCATTGTTAATGCATATTACGGTACGGCGAGGAAGATGCGTGACAAAGCTGGTAAATTCGATTTAAAAAAAACGAAACAGGCTGCACGCGCACGTGCAGCCGCACCTTTTTCCCGCACTCAAATTTCGCAATATAGYTGCTCGCGAAGAGATAAAAAATATAAACATATGATTATTCTTTTCTTCACTCTTGAGAATATTACATTTAATCCTAACGCACACCAACAATCTTTAGCTAAGTTGTTTCAACTCCTATTCCTATTTTGATCTCACGTGAAATATAGAATAGCGTCTATCATGTCCAGCAAAGATAACTGGCAAAGATGGCGAGAATTGCTATGGAAAATAGAATAGTTTGAGTTTTCTATCTTCAGCAATTTTGCAAGGGTGACGAGTCCTACAGAAACAGCATTGCTCACGTCTCAGCCCAAGGTTCGTAAAGTGTCAGCCTATCAAAATAGCCCATTGTTATTTTAGTTTTCAAACAATAGATAAGGTGCTGATTGCGAACCCATGGATGATTTCCAAAAGAAGGCCTGACCTTAATAACCATTTAATAATGAAGTGTTTCTGATACTCAAGTCCATAAAGGGATAAAAAACAATTAAATCCTCTACTTTTATAAACTGCTTTCTGTCAGGGCACGCAAGAAGGTCACGAAGCTTAGGGCTTACTTCATCGAATCTAATTCTATTTTGTGGAAACGCCTCCCAGCAAGCCATCATGACGTCATAGTAGCCAGTTGAGCAATGTTCTGGTTTTTCCATACGATAACCGGTTGAAAGCTTGTTGAGAATATGTCTTATTGGGATCCCTGGGTAAGGGGAGCCGCCCAGAGTTATGATCTCCCACATAACGACACCAAATGACCAAACATCGGACTTCCTGGTAAAGAGACCATGACGTAATGATTCAAGGGACATCCACTTGATTGGCAGTTTACCTTGTGGTCCTCTACTCTTGGCATCCAATAGTTTACTGTCTTTATAATCACGTGATAAGCCAAAGTCAGAAAGTTTGGGTACCCTGTGTTTATCGAGGAGAACATTTCTWGCAGACAAATCTGCATGAATTATTTCACATGTTGTCAAGTGTTCCATCCCTTGGCAAACTCCCAAAGCCAGGCTTATGATTTCATGTTCACTTATCTCGGCATGGGGTTTCCCTTGTGTGGATCGACATTGACGAAGAWATTCTAGCAGTGACCCCCCTGGAAGGTATTCGGTGATGATGTACAGCGGTCCTTCTAGTGAGCATACCCCGAGCAAAGTAATGACATTGGGATGGCAACCAATCTTGCGCATCAATTTAAGTTCGTCAAAGATGACAGACTTTGTGTCATCCCCAGCATCACATTTAATGGCTTTAAGAGCAACATCTTTTGGTCCTTCATCTGCAAATTAGTACAAAACAATAATGACATTAGCATACTGACTCAACAAGTTGTATCCAAGCATCTACATATATCAAAGTCATTGCATACRAAAGCTTGTATCAAGTGCAGGTGAGCACGCCCCCCACAATGCCCCGATTGAACCTTCTTGCTCATTTATTCAAAAATGATTCTAAAATGTCGATTATTACCGTCGGATTTATAAAAGTAATATTTCAGCTTCAGGAAAATCTTATTTATTTTGAAAAAGTATARAAAATAAGGGATTCAAAACTTGATTTTCTTAATCAAGGTCGCGCACCTACACAAGACGTTCTGAACTCTTGTCACACCACCTTGGGTAACACAACGTGTCCGTACTCCTTTAAACGCATGCCCATACTGTAATATTACCGATATTCGATAAGATATTCGAAAAGAGCGGCAAACTTGCTAGATTTTATTTTTAGGTCAAAACACGATGAAAGCTCGAGCTATTTCTTTTCTTATTATTTTRCTGTTCGTCGGTGTAAAATAATMATGACCCGATAACAGGAAGTGCGAGTTTTAATTGTGTAAAAGGCAAAACCATATATCAATGTACCTGTTAACATTGTTGCTTTCAATACGACACCAAAAGCTCCTTCGCCAATTTTTTCCTGGATTGATATCTTTTCCTTTGGGATCATCAATTCTCGGGTTGTATCTTTGTCTGCGTAAACAAACAATAAAAATATCAATTTAGCTTTTACTATTTTTTATCAAATACTTCAAACTAAATTGAGTCAGGATGAAAGATTACCCACGCTTTCCTTTTAGAAGCTAGARAACGAAACGAAACAAAACGAAACAAMAATGTATATTCTATTGTCGCTGAATTTTTTTTATTAATATTAACTATTGGTGAAGTTATTTTAATACCCTGCGAGCAGAGTGTATTTCCTTACCTCAATAAAAATTCGCGAATTTTTATTGAGGTAACGAAATACACTCTGCTCGCAGGGTAGTTATTTAACAACGACATGAACTAATTAATAAACAAGGCCTTTCATGCAGCTAATGAATATTCCTATGTCAATTGTAATATCAAATGATGAGCAATATACACGATAGGTGTTAACTATAAATAAATCTAATAGATGAACTGACATTAGCATAATCCCCTGGGATTAAGTCTGGGTTAAGTCAA